TGTGCATTTCCAACACTCTTTGTTGAAGTTGACCCATAAATAGCTTGCAGTATTTTTTCCCAGAACAAACCTAAACATATCAGATATTCAGAAGTCTTAGGACATAAAACAGTATAAACTGACCGATTGAACATTATACATGTTGACATATATAGTCATTATCATATATGCCAAACATTGTTAGAGTTGTGGAAAATAAAACAAAGAAAGAAAAGAAATGTACTATGTGTAAAGAGGTGCAACAGAAAAGAAAATGCAATAAAGGTAAAGTCAAACAAAGCTGATTTCACTAATAAATTAGGAAATCTGCAGAAATCATATTTATCAAGATATTTATTTTGATTGGTCTTTACAGTTTAAATTCTATTTAAACACTGAAATTAGTATGGTTTTGTGTTGCCCATGTTCTTCTTTTGAAACTTCGCATATTATTATTATTATTATTATTATTATTATTTTTATTATTATTATTATTATTATTATTATTATTATTATTATTATTATTATTATTATTATTATTATTATTATTAATGACACAAGTTTGGCTCATGTTTAAACAGGGTTTTTTTTTTTTAACCCAAAAAGAACTAGGGACCAACTTAATTGTCGAACATGTAGCTATTCAATTTTTATTTTTTTACACTTTTTGTTTGCATGCAACATGATGGCATTATTTTTGTTGGGGAACTAGTACCTGAATATTTCTGTTCCTGTTGTGTTGGGTCAGTCATCCAGCTCATCATAGTCATAGATGACTGGGTGCATCAAAGGCTTTCCTTTAAGCTACATTATGATCTTGCCTTGTATCTTTCATGACTATCATGTAGCAAATACTTTTCAAAATGTAAATTTTGATGCTCTTTTCTTCCATACTAGTTCAAAAATTTGTGGCAGTTGTGTTTCTGTGACCACATGTCTAATGAGAATATTATAATTTAAGGTAGTTTAATTTTTTAAAAGTTTCCATTTGTGATTTTACCAATGAACTATGCCCAGAAAAAAAAATCAATGTATAATGCAGTAGTTAATGGTATCTAACTATTGGGATTCCTGACATTCTGTGTTAAGACTTGTGCATCTTAGAAATTCATCAACTGAGCATTCAACCCACCCCTCGTCCTCATGGTCAGTTATATTAGGTTTAGCTATAAATGTTTGACTAATTTTTTAAAAGTTTCCATTTGTGATTTTACCAATGAACTATGCCCAGAAAAAAAAAATCAATGTATAATGCAGTAGTTAATGGTATCTAACTATTGGGATTCCTGACATTCTGTGTTAAGACTTGTGCATCTTAGAAATTCATCAACTGAGCATTCAACCCACCCCTCGTCCTCATGGTCAGTTATATTAGGTTTAGCTATAAATGTTTGACTAATTTTTTAAAAGTTTCCATTTGTGATTTTACCAATGAACTATGCCCAGAAAAAAAAAATCAATGTATAATGCAGTAGTTAATGGTATCTAACTATTGGGATTCCTGACATTCTGTGTTAAGACTTGTGCATCTTAGAAATAAATCAACTGAGCATTCAACCCACCCCTCATCCTCATGGTCAGTTATATTAGGTTTAGCTATAAATGATGTAATCCTGTATCCCAAGTAAAAATATGTTGAATGTCACATAGAATTCAATAGGTGATAATTAAACTTTTGATACTGTTAAAATCATGAAATGTGACAAGATTTGTCATAAACCCTTACTTTAACATGTTCAGTTTTCACTGTTCTATTACATATATTGTAACAAAAGCAAGATATTTTTTTTTATTGAACTTGTAATTTTATGTAAATATTTTACATAGAAAAATGATTTCTAATTACATTTGTAACTGACACGTAGATAATTAGCATCTATAAAGATTGTAGAGACATGCTTTGAGTAACAATATTTCACTCGTGACTTTTCAGACTTCAAATAATTTTATGCTAAACATTCCAGGGTACTTTTTCTTATTCCAGCAAAGACTTGTAGACAGCTGTCATGTATCCTTCCTCTCGGGTAGAAGGGTTGTATCTTCTCTGGTATTTATAGTCAGAATTATCTGATCTGCCATCATATAATATGCTAGCAGATCAAGGTACAGTATAAGTTATTTGTTCTCTGATTACTCCTTCAAAACTGCTTAACCCATAGTTGCTGGTGCATTTCTTTCAAGCTGGGATAAAATGATTTGTTTTGGGTCATTTTTTATAGATTATAAAAACAATGGAGAGCATAATCTAGTAGGTCACAGGAGATATATCGAATGACAGTTTTCACTATTAGTCATTCCAACATTTGTATTTTTCTGTATTCATGCTCCAATTATCCTTCAGTTTAAATGGTCATTTGATGAACATTTTATGACAAGTTAAAATGTTCACGAACCCTTTTTTAAATTAGTATTGAACCTAGTGATGTTCCACTAGTTGCCAATCATCATGTATCAATCTCCCATTAAAAGAAGAAAAATACAACGTTTAATTGAAAGGTATCAATTACATAGAATTCAATGGTGATTAGTAGATTACAGGATACTGTTAGTATCAGTATTAACTCATCATACCCCAACCTCATTAACTGTAGTAAGTTTGACATTAGTAAGCATTTGTCAGGCTAAATTATTATTTTTTCAAGAAGGTTATTTAGGACCTGCAAAACTTAATGGGATCAGTCATTTTTACTGGTTTAGTCTCAAGCTGAACTAATTTGCACAGCTTAATTTGCCTCTAGTTAATGCTTAAAGCTAATATTTATACGCTGTAGCAAGGTTACATAATAGCCAGGCCAAAACAAATGCAATGACTATAACAGTAGCTTTATGTATCTCATATTCTGTGTAAAGGGAACATTTATTTTTGGACTCCTTATCTGATATCATTTTTGTATGCTGATCAATTTGTTCACATCATATCATTATTTTTCTTTTGCTTCAATACAGCCATTGATTTATTATATATAATTAATGTGGGTGAGAGTTGCTGTAGAGACTATTTCAATAAATCAAACTCATTCAAGTCAACAGCTGCCTTAGTCTTGTTTTTCCTTTTTTTCTATCCTTTTTTTTCCTTTTTTTTCCCTTGTTTCCTCTAGCTAAACATGCTTTTTAAAACTGATATGAGATCACTTGCCATGCAGCCTAAGTGCCCTGTCCAGTTAGGAAGTGAACTAGAAATATTTCAGCAGAGCTGAACTGGATCCCACATGCAAACCAAATTTAGAGAATGAAGACTGATGCTACATTACAAGATATTAACGACCTGATGGTGGTTTATGACGAGTCGTGTACAAAGTTTCATTATAGACATAAAGAAATACATGCACTTAAATATTATGTTTTTACTATGGTGACTGTAATCATAAGTGTTATTCTTTCCCAGGTCTGTCAAGGACTTGAACACCCCCACTTGCCGAAAAGTCACATTGTACAAGTACAGCAAAGACTGAGTACTTTACAGTTATAGCCAGAGAACATTGTGTAAAGGGTTAGGAAAATGAAGTGATGCCATTGTCCAGTGTTTCAGCTTTCTGGCTAAAATTTTCACTTGGATTACTTTAATTAAGAAAAGAACCAGTCTTCACAATAAGATTTGCATTGACTGCTCTTTAAAAGCTGCAAATAACGTCCTTAAAATCTTTCACAAAATATATGAATGCAACCATAATTGTCAGGTTTTTTTAAAAATAAGATTTCCAGTCGAGTAAAGTTTATTTTTTAGGGACCTGACTTTGATTTGAGGGAGAATTTCATTGCAGAGAAAGGTCTAATTTTGGTGGGGGTTTTTTTAGATGAAGGTCTCCAGTGACTATTCTAATTAAACTTAATACAGGTAGGCTGCACCTGTGTAAAGGTGTCATCAAGCATATCCTTCAGTAAATTTTGAAAAAGAAAATGGGGTAGGTAACAAGAAATACAGAATAACTTGTCTCTGCCTTTGGTGTTAATCTGCCGGAGTTAGTTTTATCTGGCAGTCTTTGAATGGTCGGTACCTTTAAGTTACTATGCGCTTAACTCGTGGTAAGCCAGATATTTTTTCCTAACTCCCACCCCCAATCTTTGTAAATTCTATACAAATCTTGTCTCGTATTTTGGAATTTCACAGCATTTCCATGCGGCATTTCTTTGCATGATGTAACATGTTTGCTTGCAGGATTTATGTACACATTAATGCAGCAGTAAAATTCACAGAAAAAACAAACAAAACTTGGATTAATAGCATTATCAATTTTATTTTGATAGTGATGCAAGTTCTCTAAGACCTGCTGATAAGAAATCCTCGTAAATGGAGCCAATGAAACGGCATTTATCATGAAACTGCTGCTCTGTTAAGACAGGTATACTTGCATGGTGTTGTATGGAATCGCCAGAAAAAAATTGACATTCATAGCAAATTGTATCATTAAAATGTATCCCTAATAGTCTAAACTATATAACATTGTTGCCATTGGTGAACAATAATTTGATGTAGGTCACGGTTTTCCACTGCACAGGTGGGTTCTATCTTTTGTTCGATGAAAGAGTTTGTATGGACCGGATAACAATTATTGCTCTATTTAATACTTTAGCAAATTACATTAACATTAGGAAATACTTAAGCTACATCCAGAATCCTTATTTGTTTTTAGATGTGTATAATTTGATACTCGATAACCATCATTTCACATTGTATTTACACCTGTAGTTTTGTTTGTTTTTCGGATAGTCTGAGACAACACGGTTAGTAAATGTAAAAAATGCAGATGATTGGATATGGTGGAAAAATTCTACCTTGCCTTCACTTATGGCAAGGAGATGTATAGTCCAATGTTATTAAAAAAAAGAACAGGGCAAGGAAAAAGTGCCCAATGCTAAGCCAGTGATAAAGATACTTTACACCATCCCACCCCCTCTTACATATTATCTCGTCATCATTGAATTTAAAAAGCTATCACTGATAACAAGACATCTTTCTGCATGATTTCTGACATCCAGATATCATGGGCGGCTTGAAATTAGTCATAACAAAAATCTTCAACCGCTCTGGTGGCCTAGTGGTTAGAGCGTCCTCCTCGGATGTGAGAGGTCATGGGTTCAAACTCCAGCCGAGTCATACCAAAGACTTACAAAAATGGCTCAGCATTAAAATTTTAAGTTATGACTGGTCGGCCTAGTGTCAGGATAACGTGAATGAATCATTCTACATGTCTGCGGCATGATGCCCCAGTGCTAGATATCACTATTAACTGCCACACTACATACATCATTGCGATAAGACTGCAAAATTGTTAAAACTGCGTTAAAAAGCCAAATCACGCGCACAAAAAGATCTTCCGAGCTCCATACACTGTCCGCTGATCCGAACTACCTACAGTTTCGTTCTGACTTTACTCGTGTTAACGCCAAGGGGGTTTCATTGGTAAGAACAGGCTTCCGTCTACTGACTACCAGAAAAATGTTCGGCTCGTCAATCGATCCTTCGAGAGAGGCAATGTTACATGACCTGATACGTGCTGCCTGAAGTGCACGAAGTCATTGTACACGCGTCAAAGGCTTTACCTCCTACTGAAACCAGAGAAACAGGATATAACTCAAGTTTTATCGGCCTAGCTAAAGGAAGTCATCCAATCCGCATGCTCTAAATCACACAGGATCAGATAAGAATTTTGGCTCAAGAAACAAACTATGCCTTCAAAACAACGGCTCAGTTAAAGATATAATGGAATCAGTTTGCTGGCATGTTCAGTATACATTTTCTACTTTTTGCATAACATGACCTCAGAAAACAAAGATTTAAATCTCCTTGTTTGCTTCCTAGACAGTCACCAGACCACGCCTCTCGTGATGCAACCGCATCATCGGTAGGACGTGTCAACTTATAGTGGATTTTCTGAGAAAACCTTCCTTTGTAATTATTTGTAAAGTGCGGAAACCTTACATGGCAGCTCATTGCACGTGTATAAACACTTGCATTGGGTTGTGTCAACTATCCTTATGAGCGTCTCATCCTTAAAACTTAAAAATAGAGAATTAGTTTGACTGTACATGGTTACTTTAGGCAGAAGATGGATTCTTAGTATTTCTTCCTCGTCTTATGTATTCTTCTGAAATTAATTTGATTAGGCTTGACGGAGAAAAGAAATTTCATGGTAAATTATGTTCCTTCGAAAATAGTGAACCCAATCACATTTATATGCATCCCTTCCAAACTTTAAAGCGATATCGGTATACGAAGTGCCACCTAGCAGGGTCGAGAGTGGTAATATGTAAGAGTCACTTCCCTCTTTCTATAGACCGAGAGACTTCAATGTCAATGCGAGAACTCGGTTCTTTTCAAGTATATCGATCCTGGAGGAAGTGTAAGTTATTCCTAACGTTAATCTGATTGGATGAGTATTTTCACAGAAACATAATTTACTTTAAAATTTCTTTTTTATTCTTAGGATGCTAACATGCAAATACTGTATGTAGTAGACCATTCAACTTAACACTGTTTGAGACTTAAGATGATATTAAATCCAAGCCTACGTGCTACTCTAGATCTGTAGAAGAAAACTGAACAAAAGCAGGATGTGTACACTTAATGAAAAATTGATAATTGTTTTCAGATACAGGCAACATATTTTAGGGTTAACAAAGGTCATTGAATAGCGTTGGAAACATATCTTTTCCTACGGCTGTAACTCCTCTATTGAATGTTTTTACTTTTTATTTTTACTTAGAATTTTTTTTTTAATTTGTACTTTCTATACACATGCTATAAGGCAGTGTGTTATGTTGTGATGTCTGCCCATCCGTCTGTTAATTACCAATGTCGTTTCTACCAGCTTCCCCACAATAACAAAAGCTGTATTCCATCTACGGTTATTAAACTTTGTGGATAGTTTTCATTGGGTGATAGAGAGAGGCATATCCATTTCATTGTCACGAACTCAAAAGGCCAAGGTCACTGACCTAATCCAGAAAACTGGTTTCCACACCATAACTATAGTTCTCAACCATCAATAGTTGTTAACTGTTGTGGTTAGTTCGCTTTTGAAGTAATAGAGAATTCTATCGATTTCTGGCCCAAAAGCTCAAGTTCGATGACTAAAAATAAAAACTTTTGCACAATAGCCCGAGTTCTCCACAAGTACAGTTACCAGATTTTGTGGATGATTTGCATTTGGAGCTAGGAAGAACTCTATCGATGTCAATGGCAAACAAATTCCTAAGGCCATGGCCCGTGTGACTGGAATAATATAAATCAGTTCTGCGCAGTAACTTAAGTTCTCCACCATCAATGGTTACCAAGCTTTGTGCATAGCTTGAACTTATGTTTATGTTATGGACGAACCATATCGAGTGTGGAGTCGAAAAGCATAGGTCATTTAGATTATACAATTGTTTTGACACCTAAAGGAAGTTCTACATCACATACTTCAACTGAACTGTGTGGATGGCTTTTCCCTTATTGTAAGGAAAAATGATATCGACACTGGTGTCAACGGTAAGGCAACTGAAAGAAGAAAACTGGTTTTAGCACCATAAAAATTCCGTTATATTCATGAAGGACCATTAAACATGGCGGACTGTATAATATGCCAGATCTAGTATTCTACTTGTGTAGTTGTTGAATGGTACCTAATCTGGCAAAAATAATTTTTCTTATTTTAATAACTGCTAAAGTTGATATACAAGAGACTAATTCAGTTAGAATTTTCGAGCACATGGGAGAAGCCTGTTTTTATCATCTCTTTTCTTATATCATGAACAATTTCCACAAATACACAATGTAAAGAAATGTCAGCCACAGAACTTGAAAGTAACAAACAGGTATGCCAAAATTCTCTATCGTGCAAGTTGCAAACGAAAAAAAAAAATGTTACACCTGTCATTATTTTAGAAGAGCGCCACCTAATTTCCTTTATTTTGGTGTATCATTAATGGGTGTAATTAGGGTCAAAGATCATACAGCTTGGCCTTGCTTCAGATTTTCACCTACCAAACATCTGTTAGCTCCGCTTCGTCATTTTCACTTTATAGACTTCAAAGTGTTAAAAGTATTAAAAAAGTAATTTCTAACTCATTTTTACTTTTTATATAATTTGTAATCTTCTTTAGAAACTGGTATTGCCTACTCTGGCAAAATTCGTTTTCCCTAGATTAAAAATTATTGTAGGGTTTAACGCCATTTTTCAGCATAAGATATGCAATACATGGCTGCCAGTATTAATAGTGGAGGAAAAAACCTGGAAAACCCCGGGAAGAACAACCGACCCTAGAATAGCTACTGGCAAGCTTTCTCACGTATCCACGTTAGCCGAGCCTGAGACTCGAACCCACGCAGACATAAGTTAGATGGCTGTTATCCGGAACTTTAATAATTGTTAAAGGTTGTGTACTTTTGTCTAGTCAGGCTTATTTTGCGATAACATGGAGGCCGCCAATTTTATCTGATGAGTGTTTAGATCATGAACGATTTCCACAACAGCAGCATGTAATGAAATTTCAGTCATAGAACGTGAGAGGAGTATAGTGCTATGCCAACATTCTTTACGATGTGCATGTTGCACATGCCTTTCAGATGTGTGCAATAGTTGTGGAGCTTCCCCTCCCCCATTGCTTTTGAACACGTATTCAAAAATGAATGTTTTACCAGAATTTGTATTTTGTTCTTTTTAATAAACAAATCGATAGTTAAAGGCTATTGGTTATGCGAATCGACTTAAGAAGGGTGGGTGGGTGTGGTATAGCCAAATATCACATGCAGTGCGTAATAAATGAAAAGTTATAAATTACTAACTTGAAAATGATGTCATTTAAATGTTTAGGGACAATCCCTTTTGCAGAATATGTATTTATATGAACTAAAACAGGCATTTTGATAATGGATTGTACGCCCAATCGATCACGCCATTGAGACAGTATATAGCTATTTCATTCTAAATATCTCGCTGCATAGGGACTAATCAAGAAGCAGCTAGTATTACATTTTTTCACATGCATTTGACCATGCGTACAATGCACGTGGCAAACATCACAATGCCATGTAATGGGGGCTGCCATAATGGTCTTCTTCCAATCAACCGGGTCCCTTGACTGACTCGTATCTCTAACCTGAATTTCCGAATTGAAAGTATAGTTATAATAGCTACCGATAATAGCAAAGAGAACTCCGATTCACTCATCAAATGACTTTTTTGTTTGCTTACATTTTGATTCTTTTGCTCTCTTATTTCACCGCATGAAGTTCTTTAAAAATTTAATATTAATTCTATGTACCTCAAAATTACTAATTCCTTTCTTAACTTCAATTGTGGGATCACTCTTATTCTACTGTTTTAATTTTTTTTTTATAAATTAAGAGGATTCATTTTTCAAATTATTCACTGGAATTAGAAAGTTCTCAATATTTCTGTCTAAATTACTATTTGGATATTATTGTGAATTAATTTAATAACATTTTTGGTTATATCATCGTGATGCATGAAGAGTATTGGCACATTAGCACATTGGAAACTATTGGTATATCAGCACATTCAAAACTGGATTTGATTCTGATCATAGTTTTAGTTAATTTAGAATACTATATACTTTGGATTAGGACTATTTGGAATTTAGCTCTCAATAGTTCTTTTTAAATTGTCAGTTCGTATTCTAGTGAAATACATTATTTGTTGAAGTTTTCGCACATTATCTTACTAAGTTTAAGACCAAAGAGTGATAAAAGAAAATCGGAGACTCATGCAGGATGAGAATTTCTTTCATATATTTCAGAAAAGTTCAATTTGTCATTGAAACTGAGTTCGTGCCTGAGACATATCGACAAAGGTTTAGAAACTGTAAAAAAAAAAAAAAAAGAATCTGGACAGACCTATGTGGAATTTGCAAGGATAAAAATTAGCATTTGATAGGTGACGCTCAGCCAAGAAGGTCGATCATTATAACGATAACCTCAGATAGCTCGTATTAGTTACTTCAAGAACTTCGTCCATACTGACGTTAAGACTTACCTTGATGAGCAAAAGATCGAAACTTCAGAAAATACTGCTCATACATTTGACGAGTATTCCTTGATTCACAATTTTATTTGTTAATACGTCTTCCTCTCGGCATGTTTGGTTAAAAAAA